TAAAGATTGAATTAAGCCGTTTTACAGTTGCAATAGCCTTTAAAAACTCGTCTAGCTTGCTCGCTCAAACCTCTTCTTCAAGAGCACAACAAACTTGCTCAACCCCATTTTTCCCAACCAAATATGATTGCTTATAGTCTCTTTTTTTCTGCTGCACACTCACTCCTCTCCCAATCAAACACAAGGAACTCATTTGGTGCAAGAAATCACCCAAACTAGACAGCTACATAAGTATCAATAAAATCCAACGTCTCTAGTACATTTCTATGCTCATCAAAATACATAAATATCAATAAAATCTATCTTCCACAAAGTTTAAGTTATTGCAAACCACACTAAACGGCAATAATCATCTCACTTCATATTCTAGAATTTTCTAGTTGATTAGGGTCAAAAAATTATTTTCCCGATGAAAGTCTTCTGATTTTTATGAAATTTTCACTAGTTTATTTAATTTCAATTTTAGATTTATTCGATTCATACTAAACACAAGTCATCAATTGAGAAGAAAGGGAAATGATTTCGAAATTGAGAATCAACTGGGGAGAGAATAAGGGAATTCATTTTGGCTTCTACGTTAAAGAGAAGGAATGATTAGGAGAACTAGAGAAGGATTTACTGTAAGAAGAGTTTAGAACCTACTACAATCTCACATTCCGTTTCACTCAAGTTGTCACCATAATTTTTGGCTGAGAACTTATTTTTTTATTGTACGATCAGAAATAATTATCTTTTATTTTTTGTCTCATTTCATTTGCATATCATATATTTTAAATTTTAAATTTTTTATTTTTAATAAAAAAAATCATTAAATTACTTAAATAATCAAAAACTTATATTTCGTTAACTAAAAATATAAATATATATATACACACACATAAAAAGAAGCACACCAACTACTTTTTCATCGTAAAAAAGTAAAAACTGTCTTCCCGGCTATGATTGTGGTACATTCGAGGAGGGCCCCGCCACCAATAGCTTTGCACCCGTGAAGTGGGCCGGCAATGGTGGAGGAGGAGGTGTGGGGGCAGAGCGTCCTCACGAGATGAAATTGATACTAACTCCAAGAAAAGGTGTCGATGACTACGGACCCAATTATCTGCTCTTGTGACAGAAAAGTCCAACCACAAACACTACCCCGCTAATTAATTTCAAATTCACGTCCTTGTCAGCTTTAGTTGCGTAACATGGCTATTTTCTCAGGTTGGTTAGGTTAGGAATTTTGATCTAATAATGGTGGGGGCATAATGGATTTTTTCTTTTTATAAAGGCAATAATTAGTAAGTTAATATTGTTAAATATTAATAATTATAGATTCGATTTTCAGATCTAATGAATAACACATCAACTTCAATAAAACGCGCGACGATCAGACCCACTTGGTGGAGTTTGTGGGGCATAATAGATTAGTAATGCCTCAAGGAGGTTCCTAAAGTGATTAAAACTTGAATATTTAGATTCTTAAAGCAAATGATTTTGCATAGTCCAATCTTTTAGTGTTAAAAAGGAAACATTAATAATTCTAGTGGTAGAGCATCCTAGGAGGATTCCAACTAAACACTCTCTATTAGAAGATATGCACTTAAATAATTGAGTTATAAGTTAAAGTGTATGAAAATGTCAATATAAATTGAAAACACAAAAGGAACATTAATATAAAATTAATTAATAATAGGGAGAGTAACATATTTTATAAACTACATATATTATTTTTATTATTTAGATGTACAATAAAATCATGATTTTTAGAATTTGAGAGGATACATATTAATTATTTTTCTCATTATCTACCCAACAGATACAGTTCTAAAGTGGAGCAAATTGAAGATAATGCTTCGCTTGAAAGCATGGCAAAATGTGAAGCTGAGCTCAACAGTTTTTAGCTTTTTCTCTTATAAATACTTCTTTTTTTCTCTCCACCATACCACAAACTAAATGGAGTTGGTGTCGGTAATTCCCATCAAAATTCAGGTAATTCCATCTACTTCTACTTTCATTAGGAAAAAAGAAAGAGAAAGTTCTTCATTTCATCTTTGCACTGAACATTTTAATTTTCTGTTATATAATCTTTTCCAACGTTTTCCCAAACTTCAATTTCCTTTTAACAACTTCAGCTTTTGCTCTGATGGCCAATTTTTTTTCCTCTTCTCTTCTAATCTTGACACTGCAGATGAACAAGATAGCAACACTGCTTGTTTTGGTGGCAATATTGAGTCTAAGAGGAGCAGAGAGCAGGAATCACAGGGTCCTGAACTCGGTCTCGAACTCCCTGGAGTACACTGCCATAAGTTGCAGGGCACATACTGCATCAATTACAGATTTTGGAGGAGTTGGAGATGGAGAAACATCAAATACCAAGGCATTTCAGGATGCAGTAAATAAACTCAGCCAGTATAAATCGGACGGTGGTGCTCAGCTCTATGTCCCTGCCGGGAAATGGCTGACCGGAAGCTTTAGCCTCACCAGCCACTTCACTCTTTACCTCCATAAAGATGCTGTCCTTCTAGCCTCCCAGGTTTGTTCCTGTTTCAACAAGATCTATCTTAATATGTTTAGACTAGGTCACTAAGCTTAATCTTGATATTAATTAATTGAATTGTTTAGGATATAAATGAATGGCCTGTTCTGAAGCCATTGCCTTCGTACGGCCGGGGAAGGGATGCCGCCGCTGGGAGGTATACCAGTCTCATATTTGGAACCAATCTCACTGATGTTGTTGTTACAGGTGAAAATGGAACAAAATTTTTCTTTATTTCTCATTTTGGGTTTTTTTTTTTTTCCCCTTTTTTGAATGAATTAAATAGACGCATAAAATGTTGTAAAAAACAGGGGATAATGGCACAATCGACGGCCAAGGTGCATTCTGGTGGCAGCAATTCCATCGGGGAAAACTGAAATACACCCGACCTTACCTGATTGAGTTCATGTACTCCAGTGATATTCAGATTTCTAATCTAACGCTCCTCAATTCCCCAACATGGAATGTTCATCCTGTTTACAGCAGGTACCCTGCATTCACTTCTCCCCTGTTCTTCAGTCACAATCGTTAATACATATCACCTGATTAATCCCTGATTTTCTGTTTGATTTGATTTGATGCAGTAATATTCTTGTCCAAGGTCTTACAATCATTGCTCCCGTGACATCTCCAAACACAGACGGCATCAATCCTGGTACGGACATGATTCCTAGAAAATAATTAGTGAGGTTTTTGGGGTGTGGTTATTATTTAAAATATTAAAATTTGTTTACAAATTAATATTTTTACTTAATATTTTTAAAAAAAAATTAAAATTTTAATAATTTTAGCACTTTTTTTAGACTGATAAAGTGATAATAACTCTGCCGCCATGCATAAATTCTACGAGTCACATCGAATACGCAAGAGTGTAGAAATTTGTACGCAACGCAATCCTCTGAATTCCAATGACTTGACAAGATACAAGAAATAACAAAGACAAAGAAAATCGAGAAAATTTGAGTTAAATTCTACCACCTGGTTTGTGGGGTCTGTCACTAGGCCAAATGTGTAACAAATCTGAAACCATCATTGCCAACTATTCTGCCCCATCTCTAACCCCTTTCTTCAAATATTCAACAAATCTGCAGAAGTAGCCATCATGAAGCTTTTGATCCCCAAAAACCATGGCGGCTTCTTTAGCTCGGATCCTCAATCTCTCACCTTCCTCAGACACCATGGCTAGTTTTAGAGCTTTGGCTATTCCTTCCCTTGTAAAAGACCCATCTTCACTCCTCTCTATTTCTATACAGCCAAACCCTTCTCCACCAATACCCTAGCATTCAAGGGCTGATCAACTATAAGTGGCAGCACAACTAGGCAATGCCCAAATTGTAGTGTCTCTATAATAGATCCCCATCCACAGTGAAACAATGATCCACCGATCGACGGGTGACTCAAAATCTCCATCTGGGGTGCCCACCCGATTTGCACCACTCCTCTTCCATGTGTACTATCGGAGAATTCGAGAGGCAGAGCATGAAGATCATCAACTGCCCAGTTGGGTTTCCTGAGTGCCCACAAAAATGGAAGTCCTGATAGCTCCAACCCATATTCCATCTCATGGACGGTTTCTTTGCTCAGCTTGCACTCACTTCCGAACCCTACAAACACCACTGACTTGGGCTTCTGCCTATCCAGCCAATCGAAGATTTCACTCCATGGCTCTTCGGCGGTGTATCTAATTCTCCCTTCTGGTTTCTCCGGTAGGAATCACAGGCCTATTTATAATCTTCTCAAATAGATTCAAGTACTCACCTTCGTGCTCGGGACAGCTCCTTATAGCCACAGCTTGAGATGATAGTAGAATTTTAAAAACACTCTCGGCATCTTTCGTCCCAGATGCATTCCCTCCATAGACGCCTTCGTATACACCAATCGCCTCAAAACTCCTGTAAGCTAGTAAAGAAGGGAAATCCACCCACTCAGGCGGCGAGGTCAGGCTCTCGGGAGAAGGCCTCATTCTTTTCTGACCATCACCGACCAAGGATTGTGGATGTCCGAAGAAAGAATAAGTGGCACCTGCAAAAACGGAGAAATGGATAGTAGGAATTTGGTACTCGGCGGCGATTTCAGCTGCCCAATAAGGTATCATATCGATGAGGATCCAGTCTGGTATTTGCTCCAAGATGAACCGCTTGAATGGATAGCGGAGGAGGTCATATGCAACTTTGAGATATTGAATTTTCTCAAAGGGAACATCCACAGTGGCGTCGGCGCCTTCCGGTCAGAGATCGTTGTCTAAAGTCGGCAACGGAAACTCCACCAAGTGTATGAGCGATGCTAAAAAGGAAGGAACCTTGGGGAGTCTTTGGATGTTTCGTGGGGTTGATATGAAGGAGACTTTGATTCCAGCCTTGGCTAAGCCTAGAGTAAGTTGAAAGAATGGAATCAGGTGGCCAAAGGCCGACCACGGAAGTATCGCGACGTGTGGTTGTGTTACCATTCTTCGTCAATCTTGGCTGCAGCTCAGATTTCAAGCACTCTTCCAAGTTATTGCACCCTCCATTTTCTCCTTGTGGTAAATTCTAAATGAGTTTTTTTAATGGTACAGGTCAGGTACAACTATTATATTTTTTGAAGTTAATTAATACTACTCCGTTAAATAGATACTAAAACTCGCCATTTACCTAATTAATTAGTGAATTAAAATAATATACATTATAATTATAATAAAATTAATATTAATCTCAATTTTTATAAATTTTAATATCAATTAATAAAAAAAAAAATGCAACTGTTGAACAAGGCGA